CTTTCACATGGGCTCGTTCTTTTAAAATAATTTCCTGTTATTATGAAAACTGGTTTGCATCATATACCAAGGGAGATATATGTGTGTGTGTTTAAAAACATGATCTATTCAATTAATCCAGCCGTGACATGACACTAAAAAAAATTTCCTTCCAGGATCTTTATCATTATTGTGGAGTATTTGTTCTTCGAATTTCTTGCCTTGTTTTTGGGATCACCTTATTATGCAACATCTGCTCTGAATTTCAAATGTGATAAACAGAGTATGAGTGTCGGTGGCAGATGGCTAATGACCAGCAGAGACAGGGCATTCAAGCCTGCCTTGTTTTCTGGGAAGCGATATTTTCATGTTAATTTGCTCTGTGTCCTGCAAAGATGAGACAAATCACCTGCTCATAATTCAGGCAAAGTGGAGACCACCAGGAGCCAAGAGGGGCCATGGCTTGATTCCTCTAGGAGTGAGAGGAGAATGGGATCTGGGAGGCTTTCCTCATGTGCGGTACAGGGACCAGTCAGTCACTTTGCATTATGTCAAATCAAGAAAGATGAATCAGCCCTGGGCATCGCGTATTGACATCAGAGCCACTGTTTACTGCAAAGCAGATACTATTCATGAAAACAGATATTTCCCAGAGGCAGAAAACAGGTGCTATTAAGAGTGTGTGTCAGTCTCTGAAGTCTGGGTTTTGTAAAATAAACCTAATAGTACGTTTTATCTCTTACAGAAAATATGACAACCAACAGAAATCTCTAAGACACAGTCAACAGAAGATAAAATGAAATCTAATACACAGAGAAAATGACCTGAACAGACACATAAACGTTGAGGTTTTCTGGCCCTCTCAGGCTCTGTAGACTTCATTTATCATAAGGATGCATAAATAAATATAACTTTTATTACAAGATTGAATCATCAAAAGAGGCCATGTGGTCTTGATCTAAAAAAACCCTGTCCTATTTCAGAGGCTGCCTATCTTCTGTGTGACCTTTCAATGACTCAAACTTGTGAAATTATAATGCCAATTTCAGGAAACATATTTACGTGCATAGAATGATACCAGGTTCTCTAAGAGTTTATAAGATAGTTGAGAAGCCAGGTCCTAGGAAGGATAATATACAGATAAGCAAGCCTAAATATCAAATGAATGGTTCAGTAAAAGAGGACATTTACATTCTGAAAGCCTATACAGGAAAACATTTTATATATGAGTCTCTCTCCATATACATATATGCTGCTATATAGTTCTTTTTCCAGGTAGCAGTTGCAAATGACTATGGAAAATGCTAAAGAATTTAAGGTTCTTTTTGACCCTCTTGCATAGGATGACAGATTAAAGTATAAAAGAGAAAAATAAAAACCTGAGAGCTGTTTTTTCGGTCATAAAGCTCCCATAAATGGAAGCTGTTACATAAGCACAAATACTCTAAATTTATCATGAGCCCTAAAAGAAAAAACAAAACAAAACAAAACAGTCATTAAGGTGTCAGTTATTGCCTCACAAGTTTAAATGGGGAAGTCCAAGAAGACTATGTTACATCTCAAATGATCCAGTAAAAATTAAAGCTGGCACTGAACGCCTCCACAAATAAACAGATCCAGAGATGATATTCTGAATTAGAAAGAGGAAAGTGAGATATGGCAAATGATAAGCCTATGAGGCAAAATGAGAATATTTGTTGACTTCACAGGACAGCAGTCAACAGGCTCCGTTACGCGAATGTCATTGTCAACCAAGAACAGACATACCTTAAGGACATCGAGAAAAGAGATTAAAGAATGTGATGGAAACCTCAAGAAGAGGTATGAATAAGATGTATATAGATATATTGAATGAGGTCTATTTAGCAATGTTAGAAAGAACTACCTATGATTTTGTTTTATTCTCATGAGTTTTTCAATGACAATTTTCAGTTCAGGGCTTAACTTATTTTATTAAAGTTTGACATGAGCATCCTGCAATAATTACAAGGCTTCCCCAGTGACTCCACTCAACTATCAACCTTTACAAACACTTTCGCCTTCCGATATGGTTTAATGCCTTTTTTATTTTGACCACGAAAATAGCATTTACATGCTATTTGAAAAATTGTTATGTGCTATAAGTAAGCTTGGAAAATATAAATCTGTTATGTGTACTTTTCTAATAAATATGTTGATGAAATGATGAACAAAAAATTTTTATCCCTAAAATATCTAGTAAGAAATAGTGGAGCACCTAAAGTTTTATTAAAGTTCTGCATTATCGAATGTACACAAGAATAGCCTGAATTTCAGGGTCCCATGAACAGGTAAACAGGGCCACAGAAAACATAGTGGAGAACAGCAGGGAGGAGAAAAAATCCCTCAGCCTAAGTGGTCTCATGTAAGGGCTTATCTTGTTTTGTATCTATTGCATGTTAAAATATTTTGCATATTTATAATTAGTTTGACAACACGTCACATTTCAATACATGCAAGAGGATGTCGGTACTGACATTTAAGATTTGGATCCTTTGAAAAATATGTTAGTACCATAATGCAAAAAATTAGTAATAGATTGTGCTTATTTATAAATAAATGTTTGGTTTTACCTGAAAACGCCCCTTAAAATACTTATATAACCACAGAGACTGTGGACCACATGCTTCCATGTGCACTTTCTTTCTTCTCTTCTACACTAAGGTCCTTGATGATCATGTTAATTCAGTTTTGTGTTCCCAAAGTGCCAAGCAAAGAACTCACCCTGAGTGGAGTATATTTGTACAAGTAGAGTCAGAAAACCTCTAATTACAATAAAGCATTCTTCATAAACAAACCATTTCTGTGCTCCCAACCGGTGTTCATAATAACAATATTTGCCTGATTCAGTTACTGAGTCTTCCCACAAAGGTGTACAAATCATCGTGTAAGGCACTGTCAGTCAGGGCACCAGGATGAATGAATATGTAACACATATGTAAATAATCACAATAAAAGGCAGAAACACGATAATGAGATAGAGACATGTAGAACAGTGTTACAAGGCAAATAAGACTTGCCTTATAAATGCAGCTGTAAGGGCTGATCCAGCCTGAAATGTAGGCAGATAGCCACTGGGAGGGGAAGCAAAAGACATTAAGGAGAAACAGTGTCACCAAGGCAGGAAGTCACAGTATACACTAAGAGAAAGGCGACTGGTCCAATTTGGCCAAAAACAGTGTTTAAAAAAGGACTGGGCCATGCTCTGCATGCTTAACATGGTTTTTTGACAAACTCATAAAGAAGAGAACTGAAGAACAGAACTAGATTGGAATGTTGGAGGAAAGAAAGGCGCAGAGGCAGAACAGGGCCCCAAAGAGGTAATTAGAAATACCTGCACTGGGAGGGCCTCAAAGTCCTAAAACTGCTCAGAAGAGATGGGACTATTACTGAACATTATATTCTTTTATGAAAGTAAGATTGAGGAAAAATATACTAGATATTAGTCTAAAGCCAAAGGAATAAAACATTCGATATGTCAAATTCTAAATGTATCAGTATCTGAGAATGTTATCAAGTTATCACTAAGAGACATTTCTCACTTTATAAACAAGATAAATTACTCCATGATTGCATTAATGTATACAGCTATCATTTAATTTAAAAAAAGATAAATTGCTTTCAGCTATTAACTTCGGTCTAGAACAGTGATTTTCTTTTTTTTTTTTTTTTTTGAGACAGAGCCTCAAGCTCTCCCCCTGGGTAAAGTGCTGTGGCATCACAGCTCACAGCAACCTCCAACTCCTGAAGTGAGTCTCCTGTCTCAGCCTCCCAAGTAGCTGAGACCACAGGCGCCCACCACGATGCCCGGCTATTTTTTGGTTGCAGCTGTCATTGTTTTTTGGCAGGCCTGGGCTGGATTCGAATCCACCACCTTAGGTGTACGTGGCTGGTGCCTTAGCCACTTGAGCCACAGGCACCGAGCCTAGAACAGTGATTTTCAATTGGCATGTTATATGTGTGAAAACTTTTAAAGATCATTAAATTATTTTCAAAAGTAGTTCAAAGCACAGTAAGTATGTGTGTGTATATATATATATATATATTTTTTTTTTTTTTTTTTACTCTTTTTTTGATCAACACAGTTTAAGTGTGCCATGGAAGTTTGACTGTAGATTCAAATGTGCCATGAGATAAAAAAACGGTTGAAAAACACTGATCTAGAATGATGCTGAAGTTTTGTAACTCATTTTGAAACAATCAATGATAAGGTAGGAAGAGTCTGTTTAATTAAGCTACCTAATTCACATAGATAAAAAGGTCTTCATGAAAACTTGTTCATGATATGCTCAAATCTAAAAAGATCTACTGGGAAATTCAGTTAAGCAGAATGCAAGACCCAGTAAAACTTTATCAGCATTTTTTTCCCATTACATATAAAGGAAGAAAGAATATCTACTCAATATACTGTATCTAGTTCGCTGACCTCTAAGGGCAGAATTAGCAGATCTTAATCACCTGAGAATCTCAAGAGTTTGGCACTGTACTCGGTACTCAGGCTTCCTATAAAGGGTGATATAAATTATAAAAATGGAGAAAGAAGGATTTAATAACTGCTATTTCAGATTTACATAGCATAGGTTGTCCTGGAGTCAACGTGCAATTATAACGTGCTCATGAATGATGTTTCAAATTATATCCCTCATAGACAATGAACCATCAGAAAAAGACTGGGCTGTCATTACTAAACTGTTTTCCAGGATCAGGCCAAGAAAACGTACAAATAGATATTTTTCAATAATTTTAATATGCATTAGAATTAAATTGTTTTTTTATACTTAGCCCTAATATTAACTAGAATATATTCATTCTTTGAAGATCCCACTTAGTTGATGAACCAGAACATACCTCATTGTCTGAACATTTAGTTGATTTTTAAACTATATATTGAGTTCTAGAGTTAAAAGCTCTAATTCTGACAATTTTCCCAAGGAAAGAATGTCATTGCTTAACACGCTATAACAGTGGACTGATCGACCAGGCAGAAAGATGATTCTTGATACCTTTATGGTTTCAGTGGGCACTCCAGGCTCTGGAACTTTATCCAAGTAAGTGGTCAAGTCTTGATCAACATGTTCAAACACTAATGTTAGTTTGGTTTCTCGATCTGTTCGTGACACTGTGCACACATCAAACAACCTAGAAGAAAAAAGAAAGAGATTAAGTAGGTTGTAATCAACAAAAAAGTAATTTATGTGTCTTATATATATTCCTCGATTTGATCTCATAACAGGAAAAAAAGAAGGCCAGTGTTGACATTCCTTGTGATCATATGTAAAGACACTGATGAGATCTGATACTTCAGTATCAGCATGCTACTAAATATAAATATAATATCGGTACAAATGTACTTGGTTGATGGTGAGAACACCCACCATAACAAAGAGAAAGCAACACGATTAGAGCACAAGAATGACTGAGAGTCTTCTTACTTAGGACCTTAGCGTAGAAATTGCCAATGGAGTTAATTTCAAAAACTTGCAGTCTAGGCAGAATATGTTCCTTCTTAGCTCACAGGTTGAGAATTGTGAGAGACAGATTCAACATTCTTTGGAGATGGTGAACATTGCAATGAAGACTTTCCTGGAATTTAAGGTGTCCACAACCATGCTTGTGAAAACAAGTATGATGTAATATGGAAAAATTTAGTTTATTTCTAAAAGAGCCTACTCATCCTTGGAAAAAGCATAAATTCTTAATTAGTTTTAAAATTCCAAATTCTATGTTAAGCAACATGGCGAAATTTTAACACTTCTTTTTGGGGGCAAAATCCCACATTGGTAAACTATATTGCCCTTACATGACAAAAAGGCAGGTTAACAAATGTTATAATTAAATTTGGATGGGTGAACCTAGTTTCTTCCATAATATCTTAAAACTAATTCAAAATATAGGTTTTAAAAACAAATTCTTCAGAAGAATCTTAGAGCCAAAGGACAAAATTTCCTTCAGTTTTAACCACTATCTGGCATAAGAGATTGTCACCAAATGTTTGAAGAATTAAAAAAAACTAGTCACAAACAAGCCATAAGTAAACTCCTTGATAAGAACGTAATATAAATTAAGTAAAGGAAAAAAAATGCTAACAATATTTTTTTCTTTTCTTCTTTTTTTAAGAGACAGAGTCTCACTCTGTTGCCTAGGCTAGAGTGCAATGGCTTGATCATAGCTCACTGTAGCCGTGACCTCCTGGGCTCGAGTGATCCTTCTGCCTTAGCCTCCCAAGTATCTGGAACCAAAGGTTTGTGTTACCACATCCGGCTAATTTTTAAATTTTTTTGTGAAGTCAAGGTTTCACTATGCTGTCCAAGCATATTCAAGCAGAATTCAAGTGATCTGCCCAACTCCACCTCCAGAGTCACTGGGAGTCACGGCTATACCCAGCCTATTTGCTTTAATTAAAAAAAAACCGAACGAACACACTCTTCAAAGCAACTATAAATGTGCATACAGCCCAATTACTAAAATGCAGAGTTGACTCTCAAATATCCAGTGTGTATATTGCCTCTGTTAAATCTTTATTGCCTCGCTGCTTCACCGCGCCTCCCTACTACATTTCTGGATTTTATGAGCTTCATGTTTGGTACTTCTCTGTGACTCTAACCTAAACTTTAAAAGAAACTAAAAAAACACTCTCAGTCAAATCTTGTGGGGTGAACAACAGAACACCAACAACACAAACTTCCCAGCTAGATCCAAACTTCTTCTTAATTACGGGCAGTTTGGCGTGACTTCTACAACTCCATTAAAATCAACTCAAGTTTTTTCTCACATTTATCTACTTCCAAATATTCTTTTATTTCTCTGTTTTAATATCTAATTTTAAACTTCATATTTTCCCCTAATGTGATCTATTCAGGGAAATTATTCTGACACAGTAAAAACGCCTAACAAATTTATTAAAACCAGTACCATATATCGTGGAAGTCTCACACTATAAGAAATATGTTTGCTCTCACACATAGAGTTAACACTTGGGAAGTTTACCAGAACAGCTCTTTCAACTTGGTAACTCGAAGTCACTACATGTATTCAGAGGCTCCTTTAAGCCATCTTATTTCTACTAAACCCATATTCTTGGACGACTTCACTTTTTTCTTCCTTTTAAAGAGTGAAAAGGATTTCCACAATCACCAGCCTTCTTTATATCTGTTGCTTCTATTTTTATAACAAAATAAAACAGCAATGAATCAAAAATGGTATGCACTGAAAGTGCATGAAGAATTGCAAATACAAACATAGGAACTGGGTCATATTATGCTCATTTCAGCTGCACTTCTTAAAAATCACTTCAAATATGTTTCCCATTATAATTCATACATTTAATTAAAAAAAAGCATTATCATTTTCTGGAGTCAATAATGATTTTAGTAATTCCAGTTCGTATTGCATTTGTGATGTATATTAGACATTTCCAGTAATTTGCAAAAGAAAAGAAAATTTTGCCAGGGACCTAACTGAACTATCCAAAGGTCACCTGCCTGCTAAACCGTTGTTTTAGAAGTTACCTAACAACCCTGGCAGCAGGCTCTGTTGCTTCATCTCTCTAAAACCGTTCTCATAGACTCTTTGTATGACACAATTCAAGAACAACATCTAGCCCACCCAAGTTGTTTTCCTCAAAGTTCTACCACACTCTTCAAAATGCCAAAATTCTCTGATGCCACCTGCAGCAAATGATTCCAGGCCTAACTCTCAAATGATGCCCAAGATATAAAAGGTGAGCTTTCTGACATCGCTGCTGACTGTCCTAAATGGTAAACCCTGAAGAAAAGGCCTGCTTTTTAATTGGCGATTTTTAAAGGGTGGAATTTTAGGGAGACAATGTGTGATAATGCACAGAGTAGAACATTTCTGTGTGAATTTCATGGCATATATTTGGAAAGTCTTCAAAAACAACGGTGTTTGTTAGAAGTGGTTCTTCTAGGTTCAAGGAGATAATTATTTTTAAAGTTAATAATAAGTCATTATTAACTTCATGTGGGACCTGAATGTATTAGATTCTCCTTAAAAATTCACAAGTGACATCAAGGGAAGTAAAACTCCTAATGGTACCTGTAGGGTACTCCCTACCTTTTGGTCCCAATGTTGCCTAACCACCAACATCCTACAGACTTAGTATTCCCGTGGAAGACATTTGGAGAGGGACTGCTCTTCACCAACATAGGAAATTTTGTCTCATTTAAGTCTTTTTTCTGACTCATGTTTAGTAAACATTGCTGTAATAAAAATTAGCCATTAGTCATAATCGGTAGGGAATGCATTTTGAATCAACACTTGTAAATATTCATTTTAAAAATTTTATAATATAATATTTATAATGCTTTTTCATCTACAATGACGCCCTCTAAAATTACTCCAAATTAAGTAATAGTCACTTTGGTGGGCGATAAAAAGAAGATAGATACTTTCATATAAAAAACAAGCTTCACATGATGCAACTGAACTAAACAAGACTGGAAATCCTTCTTACTGGCTAGAGATGAACAATCTGTAAATATTTATTTGGTTATTAAATTATTTTTTAAATCTTTTAAACCATAAATTAGGCAGTCCGGTTTTCCACATTTGGGGAAACTACAGGGGTCAGAACATCCAGAGTACAATGGATAAGCCTCGCCTTCCTGATCATGGGAGCCTCCCTGCCAGGTAAGTACTGTAATATATTTATAAAATCTATGAGGAATGTGGCTATGCTGCCCAGAACCCCTACACTCGCAAAACAAAGAGTCAGACAGGTCTGAACATCTGAAGGTAAACACTGGAAAATAACTTCAACTGTATCACTTCTTATGTTGACCAACATTTTAAGACTTTCTTAAAAAAAAATTGTTTTTGGTAGATACTCAGTAAACTGACAAAAATACCATTTCAATGATGGCATGACTGCAGTTCCAAAAGAAAAAAATGTAGTCACACTGTGTTGAACATGAACAACCTATCTCAGATGACTTTTAGAACAAAATAACGTTTTCACTATATATCCAGAAGAGCTTAGCTTAATGAGATCCAAGTGAGTGTTCAAAAAGTAGAAGTGAAAAGTGATCATCAGAATTTACTAAAGCTATGAATTCAGTTTAGCTGTGCAAAAACACAATCCAAAAAAAAAAAAAAGGCAGATAGGTTGTTATCATTTCACAGTTAAGTCAGCCAAGCTCCTAACTATCCCATAAAGTAAGTTTTCTTGCTGTCTCTATTGTCCTGACCCTCCAGCTGCAGGGCAGAGAACAAGCTTTACAGTCCAGCACAGCACGCAGCTTTCCAGCTGTCCTAGTGATGTAATTATCTCATAACAAAATATCCCTGTGAATTAACTCTGCATCCTACCCATTGTAATTCTTAATGACTGCTTCCTGTGTTCATGTTCTCAATTTAACTTGCTATTCTGGATCTAATGCATAGGCAAGTTGCCTTCATCTAATGGATGGGATTACATCCAATAGGTTTGGGATTTCCAAAGATTACAATTTATAAAGGTCTCACAAACAACATGCTTTGTAAACACAAGCCCTGCCTCTGTATTGTGGTTATAATAAAAGGGAAATCTGTATCATTTGCTGTGATTAAACTTTGACCTATCCCAGGAAGTTCTATGAGGAATTTTTTTTCCTGTCACTTTTTTTCCCCATACTCTTGAATGTTTGGACATCAAGTAGGTGAAGAGCTAAGAGACATCTGACACAGCTGCCTAAGGGCCACAGCAAAATTTATTTGAACCAGGGCTGGTATTCGGGATCAAGAATTTTTTTTTATTATCCAGTTCCTCTTCTAATAGTCCATGAAGCACATTCTGTAGCAAATTTATGTTCACACACCTCACTCGCTCTACACTCCTGGATACTGGCCCGGGTGTTTTCTTTTTGCTCATTACATGTAGACTATGTGTGAACTTATTCTCAACCAACATCAAATGATATGGATCCAGAAATATTTTCCACCAACAACGAGTATTTTGTCAGAAGAAAATATCTATTTCAAGAGCAACCACAAACATTATCCAGAACCTACCACATGTAGGTGCTATGCTCAGTTGTAGTTTCCAGCTGATACGAAGATATGACAGGTATTGTCTTTAAAAGCTTTATTATCCAGTTGTGGGAGAGAAGACTTACATATAAAAATACAAGTAGTGCTATTTG